CTGCCCCATTGTGGCTCACTTCTCTCATAATGTAGTTGGAATTTGAAATTTACTGTGGTTTTCTTAAATCATTTTAATATTTTCCCATCAGATGCTAAAGATGTTTTAATAAAGTTTGGGGATGTGAGGGGAGGTGAGGAATTCTGTTCTAGAAAAACTAACTGTGTGACTTAAACCACAGAACTTCTCTCCAAGCACCCATAAAATGGGGTGGATAATGCCAACTTTGCACAAGCCGGTGGTGAGGTTTGATGGGACAGTGGGCACCACATCCTGGCACCCACTAGGCACTGGATAGTTACAATTATTGCATTTCAACTCCTCAGGTTGTGTTCCCTGGTCCCCAACAAGCACAATTCTCCCTGGGCCTCTCTCTAATCCTCTCCAAGGGCAATGATCATAGTCTACTCGTGTGAGTTTTTGGTGTCTTAGGGTGGCTCTTCTGCAGTGGCTTTTTTGAGTTTATTTTAAAATACATAATATTTCATTTGACTTTCAAAAATAAAAAAATAATTTTCTGTTACTATATATATTATATATATATGTAAATATGTAAAATTTTATACCATCAAAAAGGCCTTTGATTAGCTTTTGGTGCCACATACAAACTGGTAATTTTGATGCCTTTTTACATTTCAAACTGCATTAATACACTTAAAATATTAGATGGTTAAATATTTTAAATATCTTAAATAGTTAGAACAAGCAAATTGTTAATTCTAGTTCATTGAATGCATCAAGCTTATCTGGTGAATCTTAAATTTTCTTAAATTAGTCAATACTGTTTTCAACTTAATCTTAAAGTCAAGTACTTCCTGACGTATTTCACACTGGAGCCACATTACTAATTCTAATCCTCTAATATGCTATATGCTCTAAGCAGTAATACCAATTACATACAGATTGTGAAATAATTTTTAAAAGCTTCTACACAAGGGTAACTAGAAAGATGAGATGACACCAAGTAAAGTGTTCATGGTAGAATCTAGGTGATAGGTATGCAGGAGTTCTTTGTAAAATCCTTTAACTTGGCTGTCCGTTTGGCCGCCCTGGTTGTGGCTCACTTCCTTTAGAGCTTGGTGGGAGTCGGCATGCCCTTGGCTCTCCCAAGTCAGTCCTATCTTCCCATCAGGCATGAAGAGCCTTCCATTTGTTCTTCTACATCTACAGGGAATTCTTTCTAAACCTCTTTTTAACTTTATCACTTGATTTTAGTTGACAGAATTCAGTTTCTTGTTTTAAATTTTTTTACACGTCTTTATTGATTTCAGAGAGAGGAAGGGAGAGGAGAGAGAGATAGAAACATCAATGATGAGAGAGTCATTGATCAGCTGCCTCCTGCACGCCCCCAGCCCAGGCATGTGCCTTGACCAGGAATCTAACCGAGATCTCCTGGATTCTAGGTCAATGCTCAACCCCTGAGCCACGCCAACCAGGCTGATTCTGTGTTTTTTATACAGTTTTACCATGTGACAGGTCACCCCTCTTAGAAGTATTGAAAGGATACCTGTGACTGAATTGGATTCAGCATATCTCAAGCATTTGTCTGACTTTCATCAGGACACCGTGGCCAATTGCATGGCTTGAATTAGGCAAATTATAGGGATTTCTAACCTTCCCTCCTGAACTCAGCTATTTGAAAACAATGACCAAATCATAGTTACATCTGAATACCACCCCCCTCCCCCCCTCCGGCCTAGTACTGGGATGCACAGAAGCCTTTGCATACAGTGGACATGTAATAAATACTGAATAAATGGGTCTGTAGTGGGGCCCGGGAATGGGAACTGGTGCTCACGTTCCCCGGGTGGTTCTAACGTGCAGCCGAGGGGAGGAGGAATCCTCAGCAGGTACGAGATGCTGCTGCTTCTCCTGGGCCTAGGTCTGCAGCGGCCCAGGTCAGCGGGCGGGACAACAAGATTTGAAAACTGCACTTTCCAGGACAGGAAGTAAAGATTTCTCTCTTTAGAAAAGTGAGGACAAGGGCATTGCCTCCTCTCCTCTGCGAATGGCTGTATTTCTAAGAATTCAAATATTTAATATTTTTTAAAAAGCACAAAACCAACTTCTGGCCATGTTTACCTGTGTTTCTAACAGAGGGTTGAACTTTTGCCCAAAAAAGGCTACTGTTAGTAAATCTTTGTCCTCTAGAGTTTTGGCAAACAAAATATGTTATGTTCTTCCAACTGACAACACACTGGGGGCCCGTATGCACATTATAGGGTACTTTTTAAAGAGGTTGTGTATGTGTGTGTATGTGTCTGTGCGTATGTGTCTGTGTGTATGTGGGGGTGTGTGCACATGCCTAAGTATTCACAAGTAAGTTTAGATTCCTTGGTATAGAATTGTGCTTAGTAGTGTTTAAATAAATTGTGATCTCGCCTTACTTCAAGCTGTTTTCTTTGTCCTTATGAAAATTCTTTCTATTCTCAAATATAAAATTTCATTGCTATATATGTTATAATTTTAATGATAAATTTTAATTTTTGACATAACCTATAATACATATAAATTGATATATATCTACCTTTCCAATATTTTATTTTGAAATATCCAAACATATGGAAAAATTAAAAGAATAAAAAACACTCATAGATCCACTATCTAGATTCAAATGTATTAACATTTTGCCACATTTGCTTTCTCTCTCTTTCTCTCTTTATAAAATATTTTAAAATAATTTTCAGCCCAGCCAGCATGGCTCAGCAGTTGAGCATCAACCTAGGATCCAGGAGATCAAGGTTCAATTCCCAGTAAAGGACACATGTCCGGGTTGTGGGCTCGATCCCCAGAAGGGGACGTGCAGGAGGCCACCGATCAATCTCTCTGATCACTGATGTTTCTATCTCTCTCTCCCTCTCCCTTCCTCTCTCTCTGCAATCAATAAAAACATATTTAAAATAAATAATTTGCAGGCACCATGCAGTTTTGCCCCTAAATACTCATCACGCACTTCCTAATTTTAAGGACATTATTCCATGTATCAATAATGCCATTGTTCCAACTAAATAAAATTAACAGTAATTTCATCGAA